TCACAGCTTCTCTTCATAACTTGTGTGGCAAGGAGATGCATCAAGTCTTTAATTTTGTCTATGCTAAACAGGGCCTGATAAGGCAAATGTTTATACTTCAAAGAAACCCTTAAAATCTTACTGTAACCATCATGGCAGCATTTTGCAAGCATTTTCATAATGTTTTAGAGTTTTAGCCTTGCTTAGTTCTTATGATATGGGAGCTTTGAGATCCTAGATTAAAAAAAAATTATTTCTGAACTTCTCTGGTGGTGCAGTGGTTAAGAATCTGCCTGCCAATGCAGGGGACACGGGTTCGAGCCCTGGTCCGGGAAGATCCCACATGCCACGGAGCAACTAAGCCCGTGCGCCACAACTACTGAGCCTGCACTCTAGAGCCTGTGAGCTACAACTGAGCCCACAGGCCACAGCTACTGAAGCCCACGCACCTAGAGCCTGTGCTCCGCAACAAGAGAAGCCACTGCAATGAGAAGCCCGCACACTGCAACGAAGAGTAGCCCCCACTCGCCACAACTAGAGAAAGCCCACGTGCAGCAACAAAAACCCAACACAGCCAAAAATAATAAATAAAAGAAAAATATTTCCAAGATAGTTAATTTTGCTACTTAAGCCTGTTTACTCATTTGTAAAATGGCAATAATGATAGGTGCTTTATATTGTTGTTGATTCCATTGTCTTAGCTCCAGAGTTCCTGAATTCCTCCTGATTTCCTTTCTGTAGAAGCTTCTGTCCATTCTTCTGAATATCATCAGCAGTGCAGCGATGCGCTTTCTTTTAACCACTTGCTTCCGCAGAATTCCTTTAGCCTGATACTCCTCCTAGCCACTTATGCTTTACAGAGTAGAACCCTACTGTAAATATGTGAAACATGCTTCTTGGTGTTTAAAAGAAAAAAGTAGGCCATGTTTCATCTAGCTTATATTTAAATATTGCTAAATATTTTATATTTTAAAAAGTTAAAAAAAACTGGCTTAAATAGATCAAAGTTAGTGTTTCACTTAACTTTTCATTCTAACAATTCCATGCTAATCAAATGACTATTATTTTTCATTTGATTTATTAACGTTTCACTTGACAAATTGTGACAGAAAGCAGCATTTATTTTAATATGATTTAGTCACCCTAATTTCTTTCAGAATGCAGAGCTAACAATGAAAAAAGTTAAGTATGGCCTGGTTATCTTCTAACCTTCAATTTTAGGTGATTTTGGACAATTACAGATCTTGTCATGCTGAAGAATCACACTAGGGCTTCTGCTGGTGACCTTTGGTTCCTAACTAGTTCCTCAGAGCTGGTCCTCCACAGTCTGTGGCTCAGCTGCTCATGATGGCAGCCTGAAGGCCTTTGATGGTAGTCATGTCATCTGTGTACAGATGCTTCTGCTGCTTCTCTACAAGGCCTTGTAAAGATAGGTATGGTAATGTTTCTTACAATGCTCTGGATACTGTGACACACATCTTACAAATGTAAGAAGGTATTATTGAGGTGTTTTCTAGATACGGGGCTGTGATTCTTTCTGGCCTGTCAGTTTTTCCATCATCCTTACCCATAGCCCAGTAACCGGAGCTTACAGCAGAGTCCTGCACATCTGCTGGTTTGAGTTAGAGCATAGTGCTCTACCATCTGTTTGACAGGCAGGTGATACACACTAAGAATCATACTTCTAAGAGGGCCAGCTTCAAAGGGGATGTGGTTTGACTCACAGTGGCTTATGAAGCCTCTGAAGGTTCAGCTCGGCGACAGGGCTCTTTTGATGATCCTGACTTTAGTATAGTTCTATTAGCCTGTACTGACAAACACATTTCTAGAAGGCTATTTGCCAAGTTAACTTCATAGTCCCTAAAAGGGTATATAGTCAAGATATATTCCACAGTGACAGCAATGGCAGAAACTGGTTAGGAGTGAAGGCCTACAGAAGGAGCCCCAGTACTTTGAGGCCTATGTTTAAAACTGAAGAATCAATTCAGGCATACTATTTTATTAAATTAATTTTATTGAAGTAGAATTTATATACAATAAAATATACCTATTTTAATTACAAATTGATGAATTAGGACAAATGTGTATGCTACCACAGGCATTCTGTTTGACCAACACTGTAGGATGATTCAAGATCCCTTACTGAGAATGATAGTATCTTCGTCAATAGGGGATCTTGCATTTAAGGACTGATGATTCGTTTCACTGGGAGATTATTTATGATGGTTATTTTGTGTGATCATATTTTCAACTAAGCACACATCTGGGTAGAAGTCTTCTGTTGGTGACGACTATAAGTCAATTAAGTATTGTTTATTTGCCAAGTGTGCTTTTGTTCTCATAACCCTGGCCTGGAGTGTATCTCTGAGAGACTTAGGTTCTAAGCCTGGGTCTGCTACTATGGACAGTGGACTTAGTTGAGGTTATAGGTTTTTTGTGTTTCTTCATGAGTAAAATGAGAGGGCTGTTTGATAACTTCTACCTCTGACATTCTTAATTTCTCATGATAATAAGAATGAATGATTTGATTTGAATGTGACTGTCACAAATGTAAATGGAAAACTACTTTCTACCAGTGTTGCTTCTCTGCAGATGGATTGTACTAGTTAATGAACAGGATAGCATCTGAATACCTTTGTAGCCTTGTTTCCTGGCCTTGCTGTCAATGTGGAATTGACACAATGTGGAATATATCTTGATTATACTGTTGGTGACCTTGAAGTTTGTTAGGTAAATTGCCTTCTAGATACATGTGTTTGTCTTGCATAAAGCTTTTTATAAAGGCTGCTTTTTATTGGTTCTTGTTAGAGAAAAGAGAACCTTATCTCTGCTGTTCAGGCCTGTAACCACTCCTAAAAGGCAAAGACAAAGAAGTGCATTGTTAACTGTTATGCAGTGCTGGGTTGGCAGCTGTTTACCATGAATACCGAGGTTTAATTAACATAGGTACCCGCCGTTACAGATACCTCTAGACCATTTTAAGGTAAAATGAAATTAATCACAGCATTTAGTATTATAGACTGCTCATTTTAAGACAGGCTACATCTAGTTATTGATACATAATTTCTAACTGGGAAGGAATTTTCGCTGAGAAAGAGCACTTTAAATAGTGGTTAGGTTCTCTGAATACAAAGGCCCATTTAACCCACAGTACACCTAAAGTATGACACTAATAGAACTATGGAACCTAATGTCCATTTTTCTGGATTTCTGTGGGGGAAGTACTGGTTTTTAGACCTAGAATGTTTGCTTTATAAACATATTTCGTCCTTCTAAGGTGTTCCAGACTGTATGCTGGGCACTGGAAATACAGGGATAGGTAAAATACAGTCCCTTTCCTAATGAATGCGTGGTGGGGAAGATACACATAAATTGATAATCATAAAATAGTAAGGTTTAAAAGAGAAACTGTAAAGTATGTTCAGGGATTAGCTATGCATAAGGTACTGAGAGCACAGAAGCATACCTAACCAGTTGGGATGGGGCTCTCTTGGAGGACTGAGCTGAATCTGAAAGGATGAGTAGAAATTTATAAGAATGACTTGGGGGACGTGGGTGGGGAGAGCATTCTAGGCAGAGGGGACAGCATGAATAAGGGAATGGGGTAAGAAACTGAGCGCTTTGATATTACTGGGGCAAAGCAAAAAAGTAGTGAAAGAAGAGGAAGAAGAAAGAAGTAGGGACCAGATTACAGTGGATCTTAATTGTCACGTTTAGAAGCATGGGTTTTTCCTGTGGTCAGTCAGAGCTGAGCTGGTCAGGTTTTTGCTTAAGAAACACTACTGAGACAGGGATATGGAGAATTGGTTTGAGGGTGCAGGGATAGCAGCTTTCTCAGGCTGTTGTAATGAGCTGGTTGAGAAATGATGAAGGCCTGAATCAGGTCAGAGGTAATCAAGATAGTGCGGGGGGGGGGGCGCAGGGGGGAGATAGCAGATAAATCTTTAGGAGGTAAGATAATCAGGCCTGAGGATTGGTTAGATTTTAGGAATAAAGGACAGGTGTTCAGACTTCTGCTTTTGTTGACTGAGTGACTGAGAAGGGAATACTATCAGAAAGAGAGGCAGTGAAGATTCAGTTTGAACAAGTTGAATTTGAGATGATTGTGGAGATAGCCAGCATACAGTTGACATATCTCTAGATATATAGAAGCTTAGAGACCTAGAGGTATAGATTTTGGAGCCATTGGCATATGAGTGATTGTTGAAACCCTGGACTGAATTAAAATTAGGACTTTAAAAAATCTATATTCAGAAGTGAGCTTGGCATATTTCATGGTAAGTGCTTACTCTGGTTTCTTAACAATTTCTTTCAAAATTGAGAACTTGCCTACCAAAGGACGATGAATACTGAGCATTGGCAATTTTCATTCATTCATTTAATTGTTCATTCATTCAACAAATATATTTTTTAATTGACATCTGCTGATTGTTTTATTTAATTTTTCACTTTACAAACAAGACCAAACTCAAAACCTCTGAACTTATACTTTTCAACCTCAAAGAATCAAAGAATATAGTTATAATTCTAAAGTAGCATCAATAAAGCAAGTTATTCTTATGAGTATTAATGGACTATACTGAAAGAAGGTAAAATATAATACTCTTATTTTGTACTTACTTTGAAATGCTGCCACTGAACAAATGTTTATTCTGAAAGATGCTACTGTGAAGTTTGCAGACTCAAATACTGATAATGGTTATTCAAAAGTAAATTTATGGAATAACTAGAAAACAGGCTGAATTGGAACCTGTGGATAGTTTTATGATATTAATTAGCAACATTTTTTTAAAGACATAGAAAGCTATTGTTTTAATATAAATTAGAAGTTTTAAAACCATCTCCCTTTAGTGCTTTCAATTATCACATAAACCAAAGACCCAAATAATTTCAAATGATCACAGATACTAGTTAGGCAAAAATTCTCATGTGTCAGTACTTTTAATGTTGTGCACATCAAATTATAGTAAAAAACGACTATGAAGATGCAGCCCCTCTATTTCCATGAACAGCACACTGCATTACAGTAAACCGAGCTTATATTCAACCATCAAATGTGGTTCTCCCATTATTTCATTTTGTGATGGGTCATTAAGAATATCTTCAAGTCCAGTAGTCTCATCATTACCCCTCAGGATATCCAATGAAAGGTTTGAGCCGGGAAGAAATGGAAGACACTGAACCTGCTGCACTGCCTTGAATTCCATTTGTAGTTTTAGTGGAGCAAATAGACCCTTGATATTTCTCAGTGTGGAAAAGTTCATTTTATCTTGGTTGAGATGGAAATTTTTTTCTGATAATTCAAGAGGATGACTGGGCAAAAGTTCATTTTTCACACAAGAAAAACCTTTTCGAAGAAGATCATGACTTTCAAAAGGTCCACTTGCTGAAAGTTCAGTAACTGGAATACTGTCTTTTAGCTGAGATCCAAGTCCTCTGGCATTCACCTTCAACTCGCTCTGCGAACCCATTCAACAAATATTTATTAAATGCTGTATGCCTGGATTTCAGCAGATACATAAAGTGGTGATAGAAATATCTTCCCTGCCCTTTAGGAGGTTGCAGTCACAATAATCAGATTCTCTATATTTTTAAATCCTTTACTGTCAATGAAGTTATTTTAAGAGGTAAAATTATGATAGACTGATGCTACTAGCAAATGACTATTGTGCTTAAGAAAAAAAGCATGTCTCTCACTCTTAGTTCTTTGTCCTGTTTGTTACAATACAGAATCTTATTTGTTCAAGGTGAACAATGGAAAACAGTGTAAAGAAAGGAACATAAACTGAAAATTTTCTCCTGGGAATGTACTTCTGTATCAAATGTGACGAGAGTCATGCCACTTCTGTATTTAAAGAAAAGAATAGTTGTAGCCATTAATATTAGGCTAGCACTGTTCATTGTTCAGAAACTAGTCCAGTTGATGTCTGATTGGTTTTTTCCTATTATTCAGGATTGTAGACAGTTGTGTTTGTTTTTCTGTCTTCTTTACTGGTGCCGATGAGAGTCATCTTGTGGGTTTCATATTTTTGTTCCAAATGTCCTGGTGTAGGAAGTGTAAAGCAAATGTAGTAGGATAATTGTATATCTTTAGGCTGTTCTATTTATGAAGTGCCAATTAACTGAAATAAATTTAACCCTGTGAAAAAAATTGATTCTATAAAAGGAAAAAGCAAATCTAGAATACATGCAAAACATCATGAATGTACATTCAAGAATTAACTAAATTCTGCTAAAATATAGATATTTCAAGAATAATTTCTGAGTAACTATACTGTTTATCACATTAATTCCCTGACTTTTGCCTTTAAAATACAATTTAACTAAAACGAACCCTGCAGCCTTGATTTGTCTGTCCAATTTTATTGCTGATAACTTGAATATGAGACATCCAACTCCTGCCATTTCTACTGTTTCTATGGTAACTAAAGTGTGCAAACCCAGCAGTATCACTTTCTTTCACAGCTGGCATTTTGTGTTCACAGTAAGAAGAGGGGTTTTAGTAAAGCATAGTCTGTGTTAACTGGGATGTAACTAGGTCAGAACAATTTTGGTATCCTTTTTTCATTCTTTTAGGTTTGTGTGTATGTGTGTGTGTGTGTGTGTGTGTGTGTGTGTGTGTGTGTGTGCGTGCATGAGCTGCAGTTTCCTTTGTTTTTTAATAGCACATACCTTCACTTAATTAATCACTGTCAAAGTTAGTCTTTTGAAAATTCAGCATAATATCTGTAAACACAACTCAGTGTGGAATCTTGAGGGTTATATGGAGTTGTTCAGAGACTTGCCCCTAGCCCTGTAGGTCCTTGAGTATTTCCCTTAAGAAGAAGAAAATCGATGTGAAAATGCTTTGAAAAGTTAAATGCATTTTATTTTTTTATTTTATTTTCCATTATGATTTATTACAGGATATTGAATATAGTTCCCTAAGTTAAATGCATTTCCATGGTGATCATGTTATTTATTTTGCTGTTATTTTTGTTATTTTGAAACATCAAGTATCTTATGACCATAACACATTCACTTGTCCTGAAGGGGACAGATAAATCCCAGTTAAGAGATGTGCATTAAAAAATGATTCCCGGGCATCCCTGGTGGCGCAGTGGTTGAGAGTTCGCCTGCCGATGCAGGAGACACGGGTTCATGCCCCGGTCTGGGAAGATCCCACGTGCCGCGGAGCGGCTGGGCCCGTGAGCCATGGCCGCTGAGCCTGCGCGTCCGGAGCTTGTGCTCCACAACGGGAGAGGCCACAACAGTGAGAGGCCCGCGTACCGCAAAAAAATAAAAAAAAAAGATTCCTTCTGTGATTCTAGATTTTTACTTGACTGCAGGAACCCTTCTCTATGGATACTGCCCAAGCTTTGGGTTCCTTTCTCAGACTGTACAAAAGAGCTCAGAGTCGCTGCTCCCCTAAACCATGTCACCACTTCTGCCCTCATCTCAGGCCTCACTCTTAGAGCTTCCATGGGCTTCAAGTAGATCACGTCAAAGGTATTCTCTACTGTCTTCAGAACTAGCTTGATCCTCTTTTCTCTCTCTCTCTCTCTCTCTCTCCTCATTCCATTGTGGTGCTCATATTCATATTCTCTGTTTCCATATAGTGTGACTGCAGGAACTTCTAATAAGAGCTAACAGTGATCCAAGATGAACTTCCCGCTTTTCTCCCATTCAGCAGCTCATAATCTATTTTCATTTCTTATACGAAGCAATTTTTGTTCCCTTATATCATACTTTGTGTTTTTTTTTTTTTTTTTTTTTTTTTTTTCTTGCGTTATGCGGGCCTCTCACTGTTGTGGCCTCTCCCATTTGCGGAGCACAGGCTCCGGACGCGCAGGCTCAGTGGCCATGGCTCACGGGCCCAGCCGCTCCGCGGCATGTGGGATCCTCCCGAAACGGGGCACGAACCCGCGTCTCCTGCATCGGCAGGCGGACTCTCAAGCACTGCGCCACCAGGGAAGCCCCATACTTTGTGTTTTTATCTTATATCTTTATTTTAAAAGGATTTAATTCCTAAATCCAAAATTTAGGAATTGCGAACAGTGTAACAAATGGTACATAAAATGGTTTATTTGATGATTTTACAATTTAAAAAATTGTTATATCCCAGAGATTCCCATTCTCACTAAGGCCTTGAAAAATGTACTCTAAATCTGCCTTTACCTTTTTTCCACTTATTTGGGTCTCATTTATTGTGTCTAGCTTCTGTAAATGCACAGAAATTATTTTTTCTGTGTCACCAGTGACCTTCTAATTGTCCCAAAGTTGCCTCTTCTCAGCTTTCATTCTGTTGCACCTGAAGGCTACCTCTTCCTTTTTTTTTTTTTAGCTTCTAGACCCCTATGCTGACCGTCTTCTTACCTTGGATGCTCTTTCGCCAGGTCTTTCGCTGGCTCTCGTTCTACTACCCTTTATTCCTCGCAGCATCATTTTTTCCTTATATTTTTAAAATACCATTTATCTTACGCGGGCCTCTCACTGCTGTGGCCTCTCCCATTGCGGAGCACAGGCTCCGGACGCGCAGGCTCAGCGGCCATGGCTCACGGGCCCAGCCGCGCCGCGGCATGTGGGATCTTCCCGGACCGGGGCACGAACCCGCGTCCCCTGCATCGGCAGGCGGACTCTCAACCACTGTGCCACCAGGGAAGCCCTACCTCTTCGTTTTTAAACTCTTAGCTTCTAGAACCCTATGCTGACCGTCTTCTTACCTTGGATGCTCTTTCACCAGTTCTTTCACTGGCTCTTGTTCTTCTACCCTTTATTCCTCTCAGCATTATTTTTTTCTTATATTTTTAAAATACCATTTATCTACTTGTAAACAATACCAAAATATACAAAATCAAACATTATGGAAATATATAATGTAGTAGAAAATGATAATCTCTCCAAACCCTGCTATCAGAGATTGGGCAGGATATATATAAAATAAATTATGCAATTTGTAAAAATTATGGGTAAGATGGATAATATAACAAAATGATGCTAATTCTAGTCATGAAAAACCTAGTCTTTCCGAGCCCCCACGTCATTCTGTCTGACCGGCACCCCTCCCTAACCTTTGCCCCACCCCTCCTCTGCTGCCCCTGGGCTAACTCCCCTCCTCTCACGTTGACTGCAGCTGCACTGACCTCCTTGCTCTTTCTCCAGTGAGTCAGCCTGCCAGCTCACCAAGGTTTTTCCCCACTGCTCCGAACACCATGATCTTGCTCTGCTGCAGATCTCGTGGCAGCCCTCATCAACTCTCAGAGCACAGGCTAGACAGTGCTCAAGAACCCATCCAGTTCTGCTACCCAAATGACTTGTGCCAAAAGCAGAACCACTGCAAACAGCAAGCAAGCCCTACCTAGGGTTTCCTTCTCTTTAGAGTCATCAGTGCCTTATCACACTGTTCTCCCCGATGCCCACTGTCCTCCGTAGTGTGTCTCTGCTTTACCTGTGCCTCAAGCCTTTCAAGTTGCTCTTCCCTTATTACTGCACTTTCTTCAGGTCTTATCCCAGATGTTACCCTCTCAAAGAGGCATTATGTAAGTAATTTAAAATTATGCTTAAATGATGTTGGAAATAACACTGTCATTCCACTCCCAACGGTACCTATCCCCATTTCTTGCTTTATATATTATCTTACAAAGCATAACAGTCAAGAGCCTATCACTTAACTCAATAACTGGAATATTACCAATAGCTTGCTTCTATTTATGTTTTTTCCCTCATCCTGTCCTCTTGTCTCCTCCCAAGAGGTAACAAATATCCTGAATTTTGAACCTATTATTCACTCCTTTTAAAAAATAGGTTTATCACATTTGTATATATGCCTGAACAGAACATTTTTTAGCTTTGCTCAGTTTTAAGTTTTATGAAAGTGGCATCCTGTGTATATAGTCTTTTTTCTAAAACTTGCTTTTCTTCTCTCAACATAATGCTTCCAAGATCTGAACATTTTTTACTTTTATTTGTAATTCAGTGATTTTCACTGCTGTTTTAAAATTCATTGTGTGACTCTACCACAATTAATTTCTCCATTTTCCTATTGGCTAGAAATTTGGGTTACGTCCAGATTTTTTTTTTTTATTACAAACTGTGCTGCTATGAACATTCTTTGGTGTTTCTAAAAATGGAATTACTGAGTCAAAGGGTATGCAATTGTTCAGTTTTGCAAGATGATGCCAAATTGTTTTCCAAAGAAGTTGTACCAATTTATTCTCCCACCAGCAATGTATTGGAGCTCCCCTGACCTACTTCCTACTCAACTGTTCTTAATTTTTAACCAATTTACTAGGTGTAAAATGGTATCTCACTGTGATTTTAATTTGCATTTTCCCCATTATTGATGAGGTATAGCATCATCTTTTCATATGCTTAGTGGTTAAACATTTTCTTCTTTTTGTTAAATCCCTGTTTGGACATTTTGTCCATTTTTCTGTTAGCTTGTTTTTCATATTGATTTGTAGGAGTTCTTTATTCTGGATACTAAACCTTTGTTACTGATAAGTGTTGCAAATACTTCTGCCTGTCTGTGCTTTGTCTTTTTATTTTCCTTATCTTTGATGATTGGAAGTTATTTTAATAGACAAATTTATCAGTCTTTTCTCTTATGGTTATTCTTTGTATCGTGTTTAAGAAATTCTTGCTCACCTCAGAAAGATATTCTCCAATTTTTTTTTCCTCCAAAGTTTTAAAGTTTTGCTTTTCACATTTAATTCCTTAATCCTCCTGAAATTGTTGTTTATATGATATGAGGTGAGGATTCATTTTACTTATTTTTTTCCCACTTAGATAACCTGTTGTGCCAGCACCATTTATTGATTAGTTCTTCCTTTCTCCACTGATCTGAAGTTCTCTCTCAGTATTTTGGTTCCATCTGGGTTCTCCATTCTCTCCCATTGATCAGTTTGTCTATCCCTGTACTAGAACCACACTGTTTAATCACTATAGCTTTAAAATAAATCTTGACATAATGTTTTGAGCCAGATTCCTCTCCTCATCCCTTACCCCTGACACTTTGTGAATATCTTGGCTATTCTTAGCTCTTTGCTCTTTCGCATACATTTTAAAATCAGCTTTTCCAGTTCCACAAGGAAACTCTGATGGAATTTTGATTGAAATTGCATTGAATATACAGAGAAGTATTGGGAGAATTGATGTCTTTACTATATTGAGTCTTCTTATCTATTAACATGAGCTCTTAATTTATTTAGAACTTCTTAATATCATTTAAAACAAGGTTTCAAGGTGTTCTGTATAAAAATCTTGTAAATCTTTTGATATATTTATTCCTAGGCACCTTATACTTTTTTGTTGTTGTTGCTATAGAAATTGCTGCCTTTGAAAAATTATATTTCCTAGCTTTTTTTCCCTGATATACAGAAATACAGCTGACTTGTTCATATTGTCCAAGTAGGCAGACGTTCTAAACTCTCTTACTTTTGCTAATAATTTGCCTGTGGATACTTTGGGCTTTCTATGTAGATAATTATATTATCTGAAAATAACAATAGTTTTATTTCTGCCTTTTTAATGTATATGTCTTTAATTATTGTTTTATAGTAATAGACTTAGAGTACAGTGTTGATTTTCGAAGTGTTAATAGTGGGTATTCTTACATTATTCCTGATTTTAAAGGGAATGATTTCAATGTTTCTTTCTTAGTTTTTGATACATTCCCATTATCAGGTTAAGGAAGTTTTTTCTAGTCTAACTTGCTGAGAGTTTTTATCATGACTGGGTGTTAAATTTTATGAGCTGCTTTTTCAGCCTCTATCAAGATAATTAAATCATCTTTCTTCTTTAATCTGTCACTGTGGTGATGGACTTATATAGATTTTCTTATATTAAGCCATCCTGGCATTCCTTTTTCTGGATTTGGCTTATTACTATTTTGTTTAATATTTTTGAGTGGAGTTGGCCTGAAGTTTTTCTTTCTTATACTTTGTCTGGTTTTGCTATCAAGGTTATACTGGCTTTCTAGAATGTGTTGGGAGTATTCCCTCTTCTTCTATTCTCTGAAAATGTTTGAATAAAATTGAAACAATCTGTTCATTGAAAATTTGGAGAACTTGCCTCTGTGATCATCTGTTTTCTTGGTAGCAAGATTTTTTTTTTAACATCTTTATTGGAATATAATTGCTTTACAGTGGTGTGTTAGTTTTTGCTTTATAACAAAGTGAATCAGCTATACATATACATACATCCCCATATCTCCTCCCTCTTGCGTCCTCCCTCCCACCCTCCCTATCCCACCCCTCTAGGTGGTCACAGAGCACCGAGCTGATCTCCCTGTGCTATGCGGCTGCTTCCCACTAGCTATCGGTTTCACATTTGGTAGTGTATATAAGTCCATACCACTCTCTCACTTCAGCCCAGCTTACCCTTTGGTAGCAAGATTTTTAAGTCCAGTTTTAATTTATTTACTACTTCTTGGTTTCTTCAGGTTTTCTAATTGGAGTCAGTTTGTAGGTTACAGTTTCTTGAATTTGCCTATTTTGTATATATTTATAAATTAATAGATATAGTTTTTTAATAGGGTTCTTTTATCTTTCTAACCTCCACTGAATCTATAGTTATGTTCCTTTTTAAAATTTGTAATAACGTCTATATGCACCTTCTCTCCTTTTGATGTAGTTGTCCTAAAGGCTTCATAAATCCTCTCTTGTTCATAAATTCCTGCCCTTACCTTTATCTTTATACTTCTACTTTCTTTTGTTTTAGTCTGTTGAATTTTGTTTTGTTTTAACTTCTTAACTTAGGCACATAATTATTTTCAGGCTTTCTTCCTAACGTAAATATTTAAGGCTATACATTTCCCTTGTAAGTTCCACAGGTTTTGATAGGTCGTACTATCATTATTCCATTTCTGAGTATTTTAAATTTCTTCATACTTTCTCCTTTTACCTTTGAATAATTTAGAGGTATTTTTACATTTCCAAATATATGGAGTTTTAGATTTATACTTTTGTAATTGACTTTTTTTGGGGGGGTGCTGCATTGGGTCTTCATTGCTGTGCGTGGGCTTTCTCTAGTTGAGACAAGTGTGGGCTTTTCATTGCGGTGGCTTCTCTTGTTGCGGAGCATGGGCTCTAGGCGTGTGAGCTTCAGTAGTTGCAGCACGTGGGCTCAGTAGTTGCAGAGCGCAGGCTCAGCAGTTGTGGCGCACAGACTTAGTTGCTCCACGGCAAGTGGGATCTTCTAGGACCAGGGATCGAACCTGTGTCCCCTGCATTGGCAGGCTGATTCTTAACCACTGCACCACCAGGGAAGTCCCTGTAATTGACTTTTAACTTAATTTCATTGTGGTCAGAGAACATAGTCTGTTTGATAACAATTCCTTGAAATTTCTTGAGACCTGCTAGTACACTAACAACATTTGTAAACGTTCCACGTATGCTTGAAAAAAAAAAAGTGTATTCTCTAATTATTGGGTAAAAAGTTGTGTATATGCCTGTTAGAGCAACTTTGTTAATTGTGTCCTTTGGATGGTCTGTATCTTACTAATCTTTTGTCTGCTTGACATATCAATTATTGAGAAAAGTTTGTTATTCTTGGTCTTTTCCCTCCCTGAAATTATATCAAATACATATATATTTCAAGTACATAATGAGTTTTAGGAGTGTTCTCTCTTCCTGGTGAATTGAATCTTGTATCATTACATGGTGACCATCTCTACTCCTAATAATGCTTTTGTCTTAAAAGCTATTTTGTCTGACATTACTATAGTTGATTCTTTTAGCAGTTTGCCTGCTCTTTTAATAGCCCTTTACTTTCAGCTTTTATGGTCCTTCCACTTAGATGGATCTCTTGTAAATAGAATGTGAATGAATTAAAGTATGTTTTTAGCAGGAAAATGTATTGTTTTAGTCCTTAGGCCTAAGTTAGGAAGTTTTTCCTACAGAGAGGGTTTCCTTTTGCTTCTTCTGGTTTACTTTAGTCCCCATGGGAGTCTTGACTGATTGTCAGGGAACAGTCTCAGTTTCTTCACCTTGCTGGTGGTCCAGGGTTCAGTGTCCCCAGTGAAGTGTGTTACTGGCATCTGCTCCCAGGTCCATCCTGCCTTTCCTTCCTTCTCCAGCCCTTATTTGGGGGTGGGGCTGGGGTTGTTGTAGATATCCCTTATCTCAGTGGTTCCCCAGACGTTTTGGCACCAGGGACCAGTTTCGTGGAAGACATTTTTTCCATGAATTGGAGTGGGGAGGATGGTGCAGGCGGTAATGCGAGCGATGGGGATCAGTGGGAAGCGGCAGATGAAGCTTCGCTCACTTGCCTGCCGCTCACCTCCTGCTGTGCGGCCGGACTGGTACTGGTTTGCGGCCCGGGGGTTGGGGACCCCTGCCTTATCTCTTGTGAGATCAAGGATCCTTCAAGGAATGTTTCTTAGGCAGCATGTATATTGTTGTTCAGTAATGGCAGGGTCTCCTAGAGCACCTACTCAGCCATAATACCAGATGTGGAAATCTCTTTGTGTTCTCCTTATTTAGTTTTTATCCACAGTACTTATCAATACTGATGTACTGTACATTTGTTATTTATTGCCCTTCTCTTCCTATTAGAATGTAAGCTCCATGAGGTCAAGGATCTTGCCTGGTTTTGTTGACTACTGTATCTCTAGCATCTAAATCACTGCTAGATAATCAATATTTGTTGAATGAGTGACTATGGAGAGTAGTGAAGGCGGTGCAAAGAAGCAATGCCAAATCTTGAACTTTTACCTTGAAATGCTCTTATGTGTTGCTCCATGACCATTGTCACAAGTTAGGGACCCCTTACTTTTCCCTTGACTATTGTAACCACTTCCAACTGGTCTCTGCCTCTACTTTGTGGTCCATCTTTCCTTCTCAGTTCATCCTTCACAGTGCTACCAGAGTTTTTTCCTAAATATAGATCTGATTATCTCACTGTCTTGTCTCGGCTTAGCCTATAGCATAAGTTGTAGTTTCTTTAATGTGACGTTTAATTTCCAACATAGTTCCTAGCCTTATTTCTACACTGAGCATTCTGTGCTCTAGTCAAAATCAAAATACTTGTAGGCTCTCCCAGTATGTCATGTCCGTGGGTTTTCTTTGTGACCAGGCTCTTACTTTTAGGGTTCTCTAAGCCTGAAAAGTCATTCTTCTGTTTATGCTTATCAAAATCTTAGTCATTCTTAAATTCATCTAAAGTCATCTCCTTCCTAAAGACTATCCCGATATTCACTGAGAAGAATCATCTATTCCTGGCAATTTATTTTGCTGTTTTGGTACTTTATGTAATCTGCCTTGTACTCTAAAAAGTATTCTGTCTGTCTTTCC